ATGGGGAGGAACATACATTCTTTATGATCCTTTTATAAAACATCTACTGCCTGGGACATGCCGTTTGTACACGGACCTTTTTACTGAATGGTCCCTGATGTGCTTCACCAGACAGCAGCTGCTCGGCAACCCTAACTCCACCACACCCTTCCTCTGCAACCACACTGTCAGCTCTCTGCTGCCACTTTCCACCACCCAGTGCCACATGGGGGGCTTCTTGGCTAAACAATTGAGACTCTTTTTACCATCCCCCCCCCCCTCTGCTGCTGATTCCTTACATCAAAAGCATCTGATCAATGATGTGATGTGTGCTCATATAAGTTGAGCAAATCATTTAACAGCTTTCCCTCACATATTGGAAAGTGCTTTTTGGATGATTATATGTTGTACATGTGAGACAGATCCGGCTGTCGTACTTGCTGCCAAATGTGGACCCATAAAGGGAGATGCTAGGCAGAACCTGGAGACAGACTGAGACAGCTTCCTAGGAAGAAAGGGTTGAGGCTGGGAGATCTTTTTCAAACTGGTGAGGAACAACATTGAAAGCCTGTGTGATCCCAGATGATGTAAATCCAGGCAAAGAGTCCTTTCATTCAGTCAGCCGGTGCCCATCTTTCTTTTTTTTGTCTCTTTTCAAGAGGAGCCTATAAGGTTCATATTTGTTTGTGGGTATAAGCCCTGACAGCAATATGACCTGTTCATGAATGTTGGCTTTCACATTAAAGACTGGTTATGCGGTCTTCACATTCATCCCTGCATGTTCTTTCATACCGTCTGTCTGGTGACATGGATTCACTCTGTCCAAAACACTGTTCTTCAGCTCCTCTCTCTTTAAGCTCTAGGAAAAGCTCAGTCTGAGCTGATTGATTTAGTAGACAAATTGCAGATGGGGGGCGCTTTATTTTCTTTGTGTGACATAGTTAGGGAAAAAAAGATCTGAATGGATCACACCTTTCTCATCGAGGCAGCCAACAAAAACTGACTGGGTCTCAAAGGTTGTGGGTTGGTACAAATACCATAGCCCAACACAAGCACTGAAAAAGTGAGTTTCCCATGATAAGTGCTCTTTAAAAGCTAATGGCATATTTAGCTGTCACGAAAGGGACCAGGGTTCAACTAAATTACATCCTGTTGGGACATGATGCTACTTTATTGATGATTCATCAGTAAATCTCAAAAACTGTTGAACAAAGAAATTATAATTACCGACCTGACGTTATTATATGGAATTCAGCTACAATAATATAAGTATAATATTTTTTGTTCATTTTCTTATGTTTATACTTTCTTCCATCTTTAAAGATTGGAATGCCTTTACACTTCGCTGCTGCAAAAGAATTATTTCCCAAATTGGTAAAGTGCCTATCTATCTTCAATCTTTTTATACCTTATTACAGAATGTATCCAAACTAAAACAGTCTCTCTCCCAATGATGGAATGGCAGTTGTGCAAGTGGTGACATCAGCACTGGCAGCCCATGAAGAATACCAGGAATTCTGGGAAAGTGAGTGTGAGGCAGAACAAGCAGACCTGTGTTAGTGTCTCCTGGGCGGAGCCAGAGCAGACACAAATCTCCCTTATATGGTTGTCTAATAATAGCATTTTGGGAATTTACAGTGCGGTATAGAACATTAGTCACCACTTCTGACTGATCATGTGTCTGAGTGTGATATAATGAGCTGATGAATGAATGAAACGGGGACTCAAATGGGTCATTATTTCCTGCCATTTTTATTCCATGTGAGGCTGGAAATGGTAATTTAATGCCCCCTGACCGGAGTGTTTCCTCCTAAAGTACGCTGCACCCATTTCTGAGACAACGAGGAAACACTCACCAGTGCTATAATATCTATTCTACATGCACTACCTGTGTGTTGCACGTTGTAGCATTCCTGGGATGATAACAGCCATATCATCCCTGAACAGTGGCTTTCAGAAATAGCACTAATGTCTCCTTATCTCAGAGGAGTCCCATTCATCCTTATTAGCGTGCTGCCATCGGCTTTCCCTTCACAGCACAGGCTCTGTGTGCCGTGATAAAACAGAGCAGGAAAAATAAAACAACCTCCATTGTAGTAAAAAATAACAAGTGAGATAAAACCCCCTGAGCAATGTCAAGGTCATTTCCTGCTGAGGAAACAAATTGGAGGGAAGAGTGTGGGACCCTCCCAGCAGGACGAACTGAAATCTGTGTGGGTGTGTGTGTGTGTTCATTCACTATCTCTGGGGAAATGATCTATCACAGCATCAGTGTGCACTTGGGTTTTTAATAACCAAGCACACAAAGTGGACTTCTAAAATGGTGGTGTCCAAAATAGCGTCTTCATTGGCCAAGGAAGTTGTTGGATTAGGACCAAATCGGTGTTCTAACCCTCTTGTCACACTTGTAATTCCAATTCAGGTAATGGGAATGTATACGCTCCAAAACAATCTTGCACCAAAATATCATCAAACCAGTAACAGATGAACAGAAATGGAAAAAGTACTCAAGATCTTGTACTTCACTAAAAGTTGAAGTACCAGAGTGTAGGAATACTGTAGAATAAAAGTCCTGTTGTTACTCAAGTAAAAGTAGAAAATTATTCTCATCAAAATATAGTTAAAGTAGCGACAGTAAAAGTAGTCATTGTGCAGATTGGTCCATTTCAGAATAATATATATGATATGTTTTATAATGATTGATCATTAAAGTGTTCTCAAAGCTGGTAAAGGTGCAGCTAGTTTGAATGACTTTGTATACTGCAGGGTAGCTTGTGGATTTACTCCAGGTGGAACTAAAGTCTGATTTAACACTTGATTATATTTCACATCATTCATCCACATCTGTGAAGTAACTAAAAGGTATTAAATACATGTAGTGGAGTAAAAGTACACAATGTATCTCCACTGTAGTGCAGTGGCGGTTCAAGAACATTTTAAATGGGGTGGCAAAGGGGGGGCAAGAGGTCATTCCAGGGTGGCATAAATAACCTATTTATTGTTAAATCATGCCCTAACACAAGTGTTCTTAATGCATAAGAGAAACAAGGTGTTCAGACAAACAAACTCAAATATAGTATAAAACAGCAGAAAATACTCATTATACCCTAGAATTCTGTTTACTGTAAGTACAGTAAAAGTACTTAGTTATAATTAAGTACACACATGACATCACCCATCTCTTAGAGAGCTAAAGGTGACCTGTGCAGCAACACATTTCAATACATATTTCTCAATACTAAGAGCTGCTAGATTGTGCTGCTGTAATGGAATATGTAAGGAGAATAAGAACATACCATGTGGTCCAGCTGGAGTCTCATCTGCCTCCTGATCCCTGCCTCTGGTCATCTTTCTGACACTTCATCTTTATTCCTCATACATTTCTTCTTCTGTCACTACTGGTCTCTTCATCTCCTCCTGGCTTCCTCCTGCTCTGACCCTCCTGGTCTCTTCATCTCCTCCTGGCTTCCTCCTGTTCTGACCCTCCTGGTCTCTTCATCTCCTCCTGGCTTCCTCCTGCTCTGACCCTCCTGGTCTCTTCATCTCCTCCTGGCTTCCTCCTGCTCTGACCCTCCTGGTCTTTTCAGTGTACTCTCTTTCCCTTTTCCTCTTTCTGTTCGTCCTGATCACTACTCATGTCTTTGTGTTGCTGTTGAATCACTACAGCTACTCTGGCCTACAAGAGTCTATTTGTGAAAAGCACTGGTACAAATGCTTGTATAACTTTACACGGGCCATGTAGCTGATAAGTAGCATCTAAATATAACATCAGAAAGTATTTATCAAAACGCACACAGGCAGCTGTGTTCAGATCCAGTTTGAAGTTAAAGTATCTATGGTTTAATGTATCTGGCCTCAATGCTGTGATGTGTAATTTACGTGGATTTAATAGTACCGCATAGTTTAGCAAATAAAGTGATCGATCTCCCAGCTAGCGCTGTCTGTGTAGTATTTTGTAACGTAACGTCCCAAACAGCGACCGTCTGTTAAACGCCATCGATTCAAAAGGCAGGGTTTTATTAATATTTTGTTTCAAGCTCTCGTCCTTAGTAAAAACAAAACTAGTGGAAGAGGAAATGCTCCTAGGGGAATCTGATCCCCCTTCAGGTGCTGGGACAGCTCGGTCTCTCTGCAGCTGCGTCGCGGTCTGTGAACGCCGCTCCGCAGTTTAATGCAAGGCCGTAGCTGCGTTTTTAACTGGCCTAAGATGATATTTAAAATGATTCACTTTTAATTAATTAACTGCTTGTTTTGTCGCTTGAGAAGCTTGTGGACATAGTGTAGGTTTGTTTCTACAAGTACAGTTTTAGGGACACACAAGTTAGGGGGGCAGCTGGGGGGGCAAGGCTCTACAGTGGGGGGGCAGCTGCCCCCCGTAGATCCGCCCCTGCTGTAGTGTAACATGAAAATACTTAAGTACCTCAAATGTCTACTTAAGTGCAGTACTTGAGTATATCTACTTGGTTACTTTACACCACTGCAGAAATATCATTATTTTGTGACAACACATGACATCATGATTTGATTTTTGAGTGTATGAATTGTATGTTGTACTGTGTATGGCGAGTGTTATTGTATCTTATTTGCCAGTGCCAAAGACACTTTTCCATTATATGTAAATTGAATGGAGAATAAAGTATTCTGAATCCGTTTCATTCCATATATAGTTCTTGTTATGTGGATAGTGTATATTGTTATTTTGTGTTATTGTACACACGAGATCTATTGCATGTCTTTCCATCACGGGATCTCTCTGTTGCCAGGGTCAAAGACAAGGACACATTTTACAGGGACAAAGCTGATGTTTCCAGTTTCCATTTCCTAACAAAGTAACTTTTGGCCTCAACATAGCAGATCAGAAAATAGTTTCTGGTTTGCGTTATCAAGTGTCACATGCATTTTGGAAGGCACTGACCTGTATATACAGTCTATGCACTGACACATGTCATCATGGTGATAAGATGTTAAATCATCAATAAAAAAAAGAGGTTTAAGAGGGACTCAAAAAAGAATAAAAGGCAAACTTTCAAAATGTATAACATTTTACTATTTTATGTCTTACAGTCATGGTTTTCATTTAAGATAAAAAGAAATAATCATAAAAATGACAAAGTCAGACCTTTGGCTTAACTGATATTATTCTCAGGAGTCTTGATTTAAAGGTGACCAACAATGCACCGGGCTGACGACTGCTGCTTCCGTCGCTCTCTGAGCAGTCTTTACTACTGCGGAGCCTTCAGGGCCACAGAGTCACTGTGAGTGACCCCGCAGAGCGAGTGACCCTGCAGAGTCACTGTGATGGGTCCCCAGCGTCACTGTGATGGGCCCCCAGCGTCACTGTGATGGGCCCCGCAGCGTGGCGCTCAGCTCCTGCAGCTCGGTGAGGACCTGCTCCAGAGCAGCGACTCCGTCCAGCAGCTCCCCGTGGAGCTGACCTGTAGCCACATCTGTGTGCATTTGCTGGAAAACAGTAACGCAGAGGAAGAGGATCAGATAAGGAGGTCTCATTTCATAATAAGACAAATGCATAATAATAATAATAATAATAATGTGTTCAATATACACTTAGCTGCCAAGTCATATCTAGGTGTCTTATTTGGTTGAAAATTAAAAAGCATCTGCAGACTTAGCAGACATAGAATTCACCAATAAATACAAATGAACTTGTATTTAAAAAAAAAAAAAACGTATCAAAGAAATAGCGACTACTGTGTGTCTTTTTTCAAATAAATTATTGATTTATTTGACATTGAGAGCAAAATATTAATAATCTTTTGTTAATAGTTAAACACAGCATGGTTATGTTTCTATGATCATAAGATTATTTTATCATTGTAAAATAATTTTGTAGCATTCATAATGTATACGGTTTTCATAATATCAACACTAGGATGAGCTCTTAACATAAGTATCAACGCATAAAATAATATATGGCCGTTACCAATCGAGCAAAATGCCACCCTTCAGGATGGACTCAAACGCTGGTAAGAACACAGCCATTGTACAATGCTGAACATGATTCTTGCCAACCACTGCTATACTTTAAAGCAAAGCGGAACGATCAGCGTCATGGAAAGTGGAGGCAGTGGACACTGATTGATGGACTGTACCTTAGCTTTGGTGGCCAGACTGTTGAGGCTGAGGCGGGTGGAGGACAATATCTGAAGAGCTTCTGCTGGATTACTCTTCTTCTTACTGCAACTAATGGTCACTGAAAACAAAGAGACAAGTCAGATAAGGGTCTTTTATGTGTTTTGTCAACTCAGTGCATTTCACATTTTTGTATATTTATCCAGAACTAGTTTGGTGCCCGTTTTAAACGAGCCTGTACACCGCGTGTTTGACCTGTTGTGTTCTACTTGCAGCTTCTTCTTTCCTGACTGCTCTCTCATGTTGGATTCAGCTCCATGCTCATTCTGCTGTACTGAATATTCCTTGGGATTGTGGAGAGTAACTAAGCTGGAATCAGAGACCAGTGTTGTAGTCAAGTCACCAATTCTCAAGTCTGAGTCACTCGAGTCCCCACTCTTCGAGTCTGAATCCAAGTCTGAGTCACCTAGGAACAGTCAGAGTTTAGTCCAAGTCATCATTACCTGTGCTCGAGTCCGAGTCATCTAAGAGGAGTCTGAGTCGAGTCGTCATTGCTTGTGTGTGAGTCAAGTCCGAGTTATCATGTATGGGCTGCAATTATTGTAGGAAAGGTATTTTATAAATATAAGGGTTATTATTATAATATAATACGCACGGGACAGGAACTTGCCTCGCAGCTGCACACGCCTGGGGCAGAGTACATCCTGAATCGAGACAAAACTTGCTCGAGTCAAAGTCCGATCCTCCATGTCAAGTCCAGTTAGAGTCCGAGTCAAGTCACGAGTCCCGAAAATGGGCACTCGAGTCACGAAAATCGTGTCACAATCGAGTCACACTCGAGTACGAGTCCAGGAATCGAGTACTCCAAGTCTGTCAGAGACACATCTCTAATGTTAGGCCCACTGCTGCTCATCCGGGGTTAATCCCTCGAATTCTATATTTCACCTCCTCTTCCTCTCTAAAAAAACTGGCTAGATTGTTTGGTTGCTGGCAGGTAATGAAGCCAAAAGGTAGAAAAGTATGAGGTCCGTTTGCCTTCATTTCACATTTGATCAAAATTAGGTTAAGAGTTCTACTGTTTATGTTTTGTTGGCAGTATGAGTTATGTATTAGACCTCAGAGAGGGATGGAGTTGCAGGGCAGGAGGACATCATTGGTACAGGTTCCCTGGAATAAAACAGTTCAGATGTTTCTGTGGTGCTGTGTGGATGGTGCTCTCACCTTCACCCATATTGATTGCTCTTTGGATCACCTCTTTGAAGAGACCCGGTTCTTTCTCCCAGCCCCCAGCTTGAACCTTGCAGTGGTGGGCTTTGGACAAGAACTGTAGAGCCTGAGAAACCACACAATAACAACATTGTATTATTAATGGCTAAGCAGAAGTCTAATTCAGGCATCGCTTGAGCTTGTTTTTCATTTCTATTGTGATTGGTACAGCTGCAAACTATGATTCACGTACCATGATGAAACAACATGTTTGTAACATTTCATCTTATCAAATTGATTCAATCACCACAGGGCAATGTTAGAAATTGCATGTGTGTCACAGTCCTGTCCACAAGAGACACCAAGCAGAGAGGCATGGTGCAGTTCCTCTCAGGCTTTAAAAAGAAGACTGGATTAAGTCTGCCTCCTCTTTGAAGGCTTCTCAATACTCTAATTTCCACTCCTCGGTCCTCCGGTAGTGACCCGGAAATGGATTTCAGCGCGCCATTTTCAAGGACATCTCATTTCTCTAAATGCACAACGAGGACCGAGCATCGAGCGTCGAGGAGGCTCTCTGGAGGAGCTATAATCGAGGATACACTGATGGGTCCTCCACGGCTCCTCCGCAGATGTATTTCCGGCAACAGTGATGTTTCAAAGAGTCGTTACGCACGGCCGGACTTATCTCAGCCAATGACAGCTCTGTATGCATCCCCTGGATATTATTTTATTAACTGCTTTCATCGCAACGCAATGTTTACAGAGAGAACAGCTGTGAGGTCCGTGCAGAAAGCAGAGCAGTGTGTATGGGGGGGGATATATCCAGTCTCTGATTGTGTTATGTTATTATGAGAGTGCTCTCATACTTGTTTGATTCTGAAATTATATATATTTATATAAATATATGTGTGTGTGTGTGTGTGTGTGTGTGTGTGTGCGTGTGTGTGTCCGCATCTGTAGCCTGTTATTGTCTTATTATACAGCACTGTGAATTAATTAAAAGTAAATATATAAGTCGTCATGAACACATCTGTCCATCAGACAGAGTGTATGGAGCTATTTCAGGGTCATAAGTTTTGATCATTCAAAAAATACAATTTATTTGAAAGTTCAAGTTTTTATCCTGAACTTTAGAAAATACAACGATGTATTACAAAATAAAACAAGTATTTGAAATCATTTTTCAGGTTGAATATTATATTGATTCAGTTCAGCTAATTTTTTTGAAT